TTTTCTTTTTTTAATGTTGTAAAGACAGAGGAACAGTGGAAGCCCTCTCTCAAGGATCTTGTTTCCATGGCAGGACTTCACAAAGTCAGAGAAATCCCTGCTTGCCAAGGCATGGTCGTGGCTATCGCGCTCGTGTTGGCTTATGAAGGGAAGGGAAAAGCCACATGAAGGAGGACCCTTTTGAGGTCAGACCTTGTCAGCACACTTGGGAATGTGTGTTCAGAAACTACTTGTTTGTGTTTGTTTCTGCTGTATTCAAGGGGAAAAAAGACTCTTTTTATCCTTCTGTAAATAAATAAGATCACACGGAGAAATACACTACATTTGTTATCAGTCTCTTCCAAGAGAAAGGCTGTAACAGGTGAAAGTATACTTACAGCCTGTTCTTTGAGCCTTTAAATGCTCTCTCTCCCGTGGAAGAAGAACTGAGTAAGGACATCTTCACACTCTGTGAATTTCAGCTTGGTTTCTTTGCTGCAAGTTGTAAAAAGTCTCACTGCAAACATTTACAATTTAGTCTGAGCCATATGAGCAGTAACTGGCGCTGCTTCCAATGCAGGTTGTTTACACATTGAAGGCCTTAGTCCCAGCCAGAGCAGGAACACGTGGCACCACCATTTGGAAATCCAGACCGACAACCTCTCTTCCTACTGCAAATCACTGCCTGGTCCAATTTCCAGTTCAACTGCTGCTCTCTTTCCCCCAGCACAGCTGCAGGTAAAAAGGCATCACAAGCAACATGCCTGTCCCCAGAGGAGGAGCAATTGAGGTGATGGTGCCAGCTGTCTGTACAGAGGAGCTGCTGTTGGTCCTGCTTGGCTAGGAGGATGGTGGGTTGGTAGGTGCAGCTTTGGCTTTAAGAGGGCAAGACAGACGAGCCACAGAACAAACAGGAGCAATGAGGAGCATCTTCAGAGCTCTGCCAAGGACTCGTGGAGTGTTTGTCTATCTGAGAGGGAAAAGAAAATGACCAAAAAATATCTCCCCCTGCCCAGGCAGAGGGCACACCGGTAGGATCAGGAAACACGATGACATCTTTCACCACTGCAGCACCCAGTGAGTCCCCAGTTGGCTCGTAGAAACAGAGAGCCACATTTCTGAATGCATATGAGTGTTAGTCCCATGATCTCACTGGGGCTTAACACTACTTAAATGCCTGTATGAGCTCAAGCAAAAGTGGACAAAACCTGTTATTTGCTGATGCAATGCTGCTTTTGACCTGTCTCTCTTGCACAGAAAAAGGGGCAGGCTCAGACTGCCTCAGTTTTCCCTGTATATCAGGCACTGGCCCCTAACAAGACAAGAAAAGCAGGACTGAACCAGAGGGAGCAGAGACAAGAAACCTGCAAGACCTCCAGGTCCTGCCCTGCTGGCTCACAGAGAACTTGCCGCATACTATAGCCCTACTACTGCACGGTTGCTGCCTTCATAGGTTGCTGCTTCAAGCACCTGCAGCAGGAGTAGAATAGGCTTGAGCTTACTTTGCTTCTTTCCATCACTTAGGACACCCAACTACGCATATGGTCAACCCCACATCTAGATGGGTCCCCTGGCTACACTGCCGCTTCTCTCCCAGCCTCAGCTCCTGAAGCCCCCAAGGGCAGAGTTTCCTTAATTAATCATCGAGCAGACTTTTATTTTTTCCCTCTGATGCTTATTCCATTTACTGAGTTGCAACGTTTCCTGCCAACTTTCTTTTTGGCATGAATTTCTACAACAGAGCAGTATAACTTCTGAAAATAGACACTTACACTGGGAGGCCTGACACACCCTATATGGAGCCTCTGAGTGGCAGAACCATAATCAAAAGCCAGTCAAGACACGAGGCCATGCTAGCAGCATTCAATTACGGCTCTGAGCAAAGCAGCCCTAAGAGAAGAAAGCAGATGTGAACTCTGCAAATGCTGTTGCACAGAACCCCCAGGCTCTTTTCATCACATGGAGGCATTCGAGTTTGTGCTTCTTACGATCACCCGAGCTCCAGCCAGGTACTCCAATACAGCTGGCACGTTCAGAACCACTTTAAAAGTTAAAAGTCATGGAAAAAGCCAACCTGCCATGATTTCCTGATATGAAACTACATGCAAAGCCTGTGGGGAAAAAAGCCAGTAGTCGTATGATACAAGTCTGAGCTCTGCCTGTCATTAGCAAGGGTGGATTTTCAGGGTAAAATTCTCCTAGGCCAAATAACAGGAGACTGATAAATAAAGCTTGTCAACTGCCCTTTCTGACTCACTCTCTCCTGCTGGAAGGATGACTCACTGTCATGTGTGAAAGGCTGCCAGGTCTTGCTTACATGCTTAAACAAGCATGGGTTGTCTGTGTTAGACATATATTACCTCAGAAGAAGCAGACACTTAACGCTGAGAAGGCAGCCCTGGAAAGGACTCTGCTGACTAAAGGGTCTGAACTTCAAGGTATTTCTCAATCCTTTCTGGAAAGTTCAAGGTTGTTGTTAGATTACTACAGAAAACTTAGACCCAAAGCCATGGCTGAGGGCTTGGCTGAAGATCACAGTGATTTAACACCAGGACTCACTAGGACCACCAGATTTTACCCAGGATATAGCCACAAAGTGAGCCTGACAGCACGTTCTAGGCGCAGGCAGAAATAAGTGAGACTATGCCTGGTATGGAGCTGCCTTTTGTCCAGGGAAAATGACATGCCAAAAGCTGTCACTTGTTGCTCACTATTTCCTAGTGAGAAAGTGCCCTCATGGGGCTGCTCTGCTTATGGAGACTCTGAGGAACCTGCCTTGAATCTGGAAAGGGGCAAACACAGCACGTTGAACATCATCTCTCAGTCTGAGCAGCTCACTGACTGATTTTGAGCAACACTGGTAGCTGCTCAGTGCTTCCTGAGCAACACAGACCTTGTAGGTAAGTGGCACTGCACAAAAAGCCTGTTCACATCCAGGAGCTCTGCTGCCTATGTGAGAGCATGCTCTGGTCTTCTCCTGTCATCTCGGACCCACCACAGCCCAAATGTGCAACTCCGTGAAATCTCTGCCCCAAGGACCATTTGGAAATCCCAGTTATTAGCAAATACCACAGACTGCGTTGCCCTGTAGGACTGACGTGGCAAAGGACGCCTTTCCCTCGTGCTCTTTCTAAGGCCCTGTGCAATGCCTGTTTGCTTGGACGTGACAAAGCGAGGCGCTTTTGCAAGGAGCCACGTACCGGGATGTCAATCCACAGATCAGGGTGTCACAACTGTACCCATTCTTTAGGATTTAGAGGACTTCTAGTGTAGGAACTGAAAGTTTCCTCCCAAGACCACGAGAAGGAAGCTGTGCTGCGGCCTCCCTCAGCTCCAGGTATTAGCCAACACCTTGCTGCATCATTTGGTAGGGAAACCAAGCTGCTGTAGGGCAGTGATACCACAATTGCACCTCACGTGCTTGGCCAGGTATGCGCCATCCAGGACTTGCCCATGCAGCCAGGACAGACAGTTGCCTTTGCTTTAGCCCAGCCAGGCTGTCAGAAAACCTGCAACTAAAGCAGCGTCTCAAGGTCTCATCCCCATTTTTCACACCATATGAGCACCAAAAGTGCCCGCCCAAAATGAATGTATAGCCTAGAAATGTTAATTTTGAATAAGGAGTGTACCATTCCACATCATGTGTATGAGGAAGATAAAGCAGTCTCTCGCACAGTTCTAAATATGTCATTTATATTTCTTCTCCTTTGGGGGAGAAAATGTGTTTACCATCCTACAAAATTTCTAAGAGGTTATTTTAAAATGTTGTTGCTCTGCACCAGAACAGATGTCTAATGAAAAGCTTGAGAGAGAAACTGCAGCCCACAAGAGCCTCATCCAATGGTAAAAGGACTTACCTGACACATGGAAAACAAGCCAAGGCCACAGTGCTACTTAGGCGTTGATTTAACACGCGCCAGTCTAAGCGAGGAGACTAAATAACAGTGTGAGTGTGCCGTTCAAGTGTTTGTCTCAGTAAGGCAGTGCAGGGCCATCCCACACGTGTCATCTAGTCCCTGGACTACTGGTTACTCCAGAAGAAGTCGATTTCTCATCATAATTGTGCTGCAAAATGTCATCCTTTTAAAAACTGAACCTCAAATTACAAGGGAAAATTAATTCACCGACTACAGAGATATTTTACTGAAAACCATCCAGCACTGACCTGTCAGATTTCTCCTTTAAACGATGATGAAAATATTACCTCTCTGGTTTTCTTCCACTGTTAATCATCTGTTATTCCTTTATTGATTCTTACTGACTATGACAAAGTCAGGATTTCCTCCTAAATGTTCCTCCTGATGCTAATGATTAGCAAGTACGGATAGTCTTATAGGTAAACTGATACCATCTCTTATCATGAATTAATTTTGTTTCAAGATACTGATGTCCCAACTGCATGTTTTAAGCTTGAACATCTAAGATCTGCTTTCCCAGTCCTGTAAAATAAATGATAAAAATAAATATAGACATCATTAAAAAGACAAAATTAAATTAAGACTCGGTAGATATTTTAAATAACAGCATTTCTCTTTGCTATACTTATTTCATAATGAGTCATAAATTGGGCTAGAAATAGCCAAGAGAAGGTGATGAAAATAAAAAAAAAGAAGTAAACACAACATAATAAAGATTCCAGAGTAATTTCCTTCTAAAGCAAAATTTCAGCAACTTTTAGACTGTAGTAAGTCATGTCCCCTGGTTGCTTTCCTAACCCTTTAGAAAAAGATTTACATTAACATCAATAATCATATTCATCTGCAGATGTCAAAGCACTTCCCAAAATAAGTCAGTAAAATCATATTCTCAGAAATGGAGCAATGAAGGCGTTAGGATGCAGGAAAATCAGTGACAGAACCAGGAATTACAGCCCAGGTCCCCAGTCCAGGCCCTCGTGTGCTGAACCATCCCACCGCTGACAGAGTCGGGCTTCTTCAGCTGCAACTGCAAAGTGATTTGCTCAGACACGTGAAACCACGCCAGCCAGCACAGACACCGCTTCTGCCACTCGCTCTGATTACAGTCGCCTTCTGCCGCGGCTCCTGAGAGCACAGCGCTTTGTTAGGCCTCTTCTGGGGGCTTCTCCGACTTGACAAACTGAGGTCATCTGTCTGGATAGAGCAAGCACTCCTTATTCTTCCTCGTTTTTGTTCTTCCTCGTCCTCCTCCTCTTCCTCCTCCATCGTCCCGCCAGGCACGTTCATTGGAGTTTTTAACTCACTACGAGCTCCGATGATGCCCACCCTGTTAGAAAACACCGTGTTAATCTGCTTGACACAATGAAGCGAAGGAAAAGAGGAGGAAGGGGGATCAGTTTGTGATGTTTCCCAGGTAAACCAGCAAGGAGCCTTGCCTCCTTTAGCAGAGACTTCCGCACTCCGCCAGGGAAAGACAAATAACCACGGCTGTACCCTCAGCCCTTTGCACACCACGTCCCGTGTCTGTCTAGGGTGTGCACGCCGACATCCAAGTGGAGCTCAGCGCTCAGTGTGGCCCTATTGCATACGAATTATGTGACTCTCTGCATAAGCCATAAAGCCAAGATGCTCAAGGTGCACCCAGCTTCCAAAGTATGCACAGAACAATTACGTGTGCGTTTGTAGCAAATTTTACACGCTCAAGAAATACCGGACTTGCTGGTTGTGCGTTGTAGGTACGTCCAAAGATTTTGCGTGTGTAGTGCTGTAGCATTCATTAGATTGCCAGAACTCTGGAAGATCCAGAAAAATGATTCTGGATCAAATTCAGATGATCTGGATTCAATTCTCAAATTCTCATTTCCAGACAGAAAAAGATTATGAGGGAAAGTCTTACAGGGAGCCTCACATACACGTCAACAGAGCAAAACTGATTTACAGTGGTCCTGTGTATGTGAGATTTTATGTTAAGAAGTACTGTGGTGACACTGCTGTTAACCGTGACCGGATGCGAAGTGGAATTCCTCTCATATGGCATACCCAGGCTTGAAACATTTTGGTTTTATCATGAATCAGAAGAAAAGGTTCTATTTCTATTACAATCAAAATTAAATTTTTAAAGTAGAATGTAGAAACAAAATTACTTTTTGTTTTTAATAAAGTACATCGGTAATCTCTGATCAGAACACTATTAAAAACTAAAAGTCAAGAAGAAATAAGGAATTGGAATGAATCATGAGAGGGAAAAGAATAAACATCCCATTTTAGTTTTGAGAGGTTTGGATTATTTTTTGTTCAAATTACTGTTCAAGCACATTTCCTTCCCCCAGACAACTTGAGTTTTAACAAAGCACTACGATGGACAGTAGCTGCCTTGCCACCAGTGAACCAATGGTACCACCTCTGCAAGTTTCAGGCTCTCTCAGGACCCACACTCCTGTTCCTCCCTAACTCCCATGTAGACCAGATCCTCCGGCCAATGGACCCTCTCCCAGGGAGGAAGAGCAAGCTGCCCAACATCCTTCCTCACAGCACTACCAAATCTATCTGTGCAGAGAAACAGCCCCTTCCTTTGTAGTGAACAATTCGGAGAAGTCTGGCAGGCCGTCACACGTGCGAGGTCGAGGGTCTCTGCCGCGACAGGAACGGTTCTGGAGGAAGCACTGAGCACTGTCCTTGGGTAAGGGCAGGAGCGTGCTGACCACTGGCGAGCGCTTGTGACCCCTGCTGCCTAGAGAAGGATGCTTGGCATGGGCTCTTCTTGAAAGAAAACAAATGCAGGTGTTACCTCGGTGTATTCGGACAGGGCAGGCTCCCCAAGGACTCACCAGTGTGTCAAATGCATACCTTGGACACGGCAGTTGCTCTGTATTTGCATCACCAGTCTGGTCTCCTGGTTTCTGCAAGTCAACATTGTTCTTGTCTCTCAAGATGGGATTGAACGTGTCAGAGTAAAGAAGCCTGCTAATTTCTTCCTGAATCACTTGGAAGTGCTTCTGTCCGAACACAAGCCAAGCCACATGGCTGCAGTAGTTATAGAAGCCCTGAATTGTAAACACAGATCCCCTTTTCATTGGGAAAAGGCCCAGAGACCCACTGCACCCAGAGTGCAAGCTGGCACGACTCCACTAAAAGGCCAGCAACCATTTGGCATCGAACTTTACCATGCATGTATGAGTGAAGACCTGAAAGGACCGGGTTTTTAAAGGTATGCAGACAGATGAGGCTAGAAACAGAGTCAGCGCAGATGGATTTCATCTTGCTTAACTCTGATCAGCTTGGCTTAGTCTTGTTGCTAGAAACTGAGGTGATAACTTGAGATCACCACCCAGTTTCCCTCAATAATCAATGCAAAGAGGCTGATGGGATGAGTCATTCTGTGAGGTTTCCTATCACACACATCTGTCTCAAGAGGCAACAATCCCCTGTCTGGCTGAGCTGCTCTCTCCTGCAGTGGCTGTCAAGACAGCCAAAGGGCATGGGCTGACTGGCCAGATATTATTTGGGCACCTGCAGGTAGACAAGATGATCCCCACCCCGAATGACAGCATTATGATCACAGAAAATATTACTAACAAAACTTACTGCATCTCACCTCCACATGTCTGCTTGCTGTTTAAAAAAACAAAATCTAGCTTTTCACTCCTATTTAATGATTGTGATCCCTGGCATAAGCTGAATCAACCCCCAATAAATCCAATCTCTACTGAGTCTGCTCTTAAAAAGATGGGATTGCTGGGACTGTTGGGTGTCCTTGGAATCAGATCCACACTTCCCTTTTTTCAAGGAAAGGCTTCCCGTTTTTTTAAGTATACAGTATAATTTGGGCCCAGCTGTTTCGTGCTGATCTGCTGAAGCCCTGCTACATAGTGAGTCCCATAAATGGCTGATGGAGATGTGTGTTGCAGGCCAGAAGAGCTTACTGACATCTAGAAATGGTGCCAAGGGCAATGGAAATAAAAGACTACTCTAAAATTTCTTACCTACAGAGATGAAACTGTGAGTCCAATGATGAGAAGAAACCTATAGACCAGAATTCCCCGAGGGACCTCAGGCTGTGGTGGGAACTGCCTGGGCTCTGAGAGCCACAGCGGGACTGAAACTCCCCATCTGAGGACTCCAAGGGGAAAAGACTTGGACTGAAGGACAAAGAGATGGTATTTCACAGGGATGTCTAGGCTCTAGAGGTAAAATTTTATCCTAGGTACTCTGCCCTACAAGTAAACTACTGCGGGAAGCAAAAAGGAAAGGAGCATTTGGATGTGCAAAGGACGGACATGATATAGGCTGACACTCTCCATTTATCTTTGTGTCTTCCTTACCTCAAAGAAGCGTTGATCTTTCTGTGATGATGTTTTTCTCCTAAGGCAGGGAACAAGAGCACAAAATTAATAGCAATAGTCGTCCTTTCAGTTCTCTGGACAGAGCATTGAATATGAGTCATGGGGCTATGCCAAGCTGGCATTGTACCAGGGCAATAAAGTTGTTGCTGGTAGATCCTCATTACTGGCATGCAGAGACCCACTGTCCAAGAGAAAGGCAGGACTTCTGCATTGCCTCAGAAGGAGAAAATGCAAAATATCGCATGGCTCAGTTAATTAAATCTGACAGAGAACAAAGCTGGATGTGACGAGCAGGCGAGGCTCCCCTGCTATTCTATGTGGACTGAGCACTCTGCGTGGGCCTCTCAAAAGTGGTCAGCACTGATCTAACCCAGTTCCCATTGAAGTCAATAAAAAACTCTTCCAGACATCACTGGAAGAGCCATGAGCAGACTTACACAAAGCCAGGCCAATGCTGAGACAATAAACTTGAAAACCAGAAAGGAGATGCCTGATATATCTCCAAGAAGAAATGTAAAACATGCCCAAGAACGACAAAGGGCCTTTGTTGAAGAAGCAGTGATTTGCCCTGAGAGATGCCCTCGTCACCCCCTTGAGTCCAGGGATTCTCACACAAAACCAAATGGCTGTCCATCATGGAGGTGTTCATTAAAGCAGAGGGTGGTGCCCACATCCCAGCAGCCACTCAGTTCACCCGGAGATGGCGTAACTCACCCTCATGGAAATGAAAGCAAATTTTCCCTGGTAGCCCACAGATCCCCACGGATTTGGCTTAGTCCTGCCAGATGCACACGAAAGCCTGAGCATCAACTCACCAACCCCTGACATGTCCCTTATCTTCCTGATGACATCAAGTGTTCCTGGTATCACCAGCTGCCATCACCCCAGAAGCATCAATGCAGATCACGAAGATAATACCTTTCAGCCATAAAGCTCTATTTACCATCTTCTGACTTCTATTTACTGATTTTTTGAACATGAATACCATGGATCTCCCTGCCTGGCTCCCAACAGCCAAAAACCCTGCTGAAACATCACATATTGTGCAAGGGAAAAGCAGCTTGACTCTGCAAGCATGGCATGGCCACTTGCCAGAGCAGAACTCCCTCAACAACTCTGATGCCTTTGATTCCTTATGAAGCCTGGCAAAGCACAGTATTCTGTCTTCAGAGGACCAGAGCAGAGAAACCTAAAGCGACCTCAGCTTCCTAAACCTAAACGTGAAACCCAGCTTCACCTTTTAACATCCTACAGCTCATGCAGTATCTTAGGACTAGTCGCTAGTACATATGTAGAGCCAGCAACAGCAAATAACACTAATAATTAGAGTCAAATAAGGCCAGGGGTCTCCACCCTTCTTTCTCCCAGTGCTTTCTTCCCTCGGGTGAGGTATTAAGCTAGGAGACCTGCTTGAAGTAAAGTTTCCTAAAATAAGTGTTGAAGTAGGAGGCACCTCCCATGTCTAGGGCACAGCTGGTAACTACCTAGGAAAATACAGAAAGGGTCAGGAAAACGTCGAACTTGCAACAAACTTCAGGTCAGGACTTGTAAGAAACGTGAAAGAATGAGCAGAAAGCATCGTGCCTTCTAGTGGTACAGTACTGCTGACTTCTGAGAACTGTGAGGGGGCCGGGATGGGTTCTCGCATAAAAGAGGAGAGCACAGCCCAGGGCGGACAGCGCAGGAAGCGTGGGGTTTGGATGGAAGATGACAGTGGCTTCAGACGTCTACAAGAACTGCTGTTTTGCGTGGGGGTATATGGGGAGGAAATGCTTCCTGTGGCGTTTGGCAGCTCCCTCCACCACGGCCGTGACTCTGGATCAAGACAGCTCCAAGGATCAGCGAGGGCCGGCTCCACTGTGTTTGAGCCACTGCTGCACGCAGCTTTGGGAACACGCTGTATTTTTCCGATTATGACAAATGCCCATGAGGAAACTGGCACCACAAAAAGGTTGCACAACCACCATCAACTTAAAAGGAAAGAGCCAGACACACCTATTCCTTCCTCGGCGTTGGAGGCACAAAAGGACTAATGCTAACATATACAAATAACAGGTCTGGAGGAACTCTCTCAAATTCCAGTCTGGGACAGTATCAAAATAGGACTTTAATGCCGCATTTTACAAACCATGTAAATTGTTAAGGATGAAGATGTTCTCCACCTAATCCTCCCTTTTAAAACCTTCAGATAAAAGCTTTACATTTAAAAAATCAATAATTTCATATGAGCACATAGACATTTGGCAGGTCTGGAAGGGAAAGCAGTTCACCAACACAGTCTAGGATTTGATTAAAATGTTGCTATGGTGAATTAGAGTGAAAAGCAGAAGCTTCAACACCATCATGAACCCATAGTTGGGTTATGAGAAAATATAGTCAATCTGGGGGTGGCACATTATCAATAGTTTCTCAGCTTTTTAATCTAAACATTTTTCATGGTAAAAAGAAACCCCGTCAAAAGTAACCCTCACCACAGTTTCTACTTTGATGAAGGACCTTTCCCACCCAAAAAAAAAGTGTGCTCAAAAAAACCCCTAACCATCCTTTAAAATCAAGAGTGTCAATCAGTTCTGTCCCTTAGCTCCTGTTTTTGGCAGCTCAGGTAATGGCCTGGGAGGATCCAGATAACATTAAATGCTAAACTGAGTCAGCGTAGAAAAGATTATATTTATTTAATTGCAGTGTGGTATGGGAAGTGCCGTGTGTTACAACGCGCAGCATTAACCTAACTCTGAAGTCAGCTGTACCCAGCTACCACCACCCTGCTGTGAGTAACTCGCTGAGGTCTCTCTTCACACAGCACCATACACGAGGGAGGCTTTAAGACACCACTCCTCCAGTCTTTGAGTTTTCAGGGCCTGGACACCAACACCCCCACCCACTGCCAGCCTCTAACCCCACTCATATTAAAGAACACTTTTTCTTGTTTCAGCTCTCTGCTCTCATTCCCACACTGGTGTTTTTTTGCTGCCAGACCTCTTGCTTGCCTCAGCCCTGCACATTCCCATCCACCAGACAATACGAGTGAAGATTCAAGTTCAGTTTTTGGATCCAAGTTGCCTTCTGGAGTTAAGTTCCTCCAACTGAGTCTCATGTGTGCAGACATTAGGGCCACCCAACAGAAATAATGAAATGCTGTCATGACCCTCGCTGTCTGAGCAGCAAGAAGGTTGACAGGACACCTCTGCTCAGCAGCACTCTGGGAGCAGGGACTTGGCACAGAATGCTGCTCCCGGGAGTGCCCGGTGAAACGCTGATGTGCCAGGAAGCAGAGGGAACACGCTCTTAATCCTCAGGGTCCAGCACCTTGTGGGGTGGGGCACACTAAAATGAAAGGCAGCAATTCCAGCTCCCCTTTGACTCCATCATTTCACAGCTTGCCTTCTCCTCTTGATTAGAAGGAAACCCAGGTTCCTCCACCCCAGCCAGGAGCAAGGCCGCCTGGAGCCGTGTTGCAGGAAGGCAATGACAGTGACTCCTCTGGGGCACTGGCAGCAGTTTCGCACGAACTGACTGAAAAAAATGGCCTGAAACTGCTCTGAGAAGATCCCACAGGACTGTGATGCTGGGTGGGGACTGCCAGCTCCTTCCTGCTGCCAGGAAAAGGAAACATTGCACAGGAACACACATGACGAGGAGAGAGCCTAACACTAGCGTGGTGTGTGTGATCTCTGTCACTACATTCTCCTTCCACTAACCACTTTTTGTCGTGCTTAGTTGTCAGCCAGGGTTAAGCCACAACTTCATCTCCTGTTAAAACCCCCCCTTTTTTTTCCTTTTCATCATTCCCGTGGTTTCACTGCCTTTTCAAACATCCTCCCATCCTCTCCTGTCTTCAGTTTCTTTTTTAATTCAAACTACAATTTTCTCTCCCCTTTAAGTTCATCACTGGGGCCATTGCATCTAAAGAGCAGTTGGTCTCCACCACTCTGAAAAAGCCATGCACCACGTTCCCTGCTCAGAGGTAGGAACCCTACACTTCCCATGCCCAAGCACAACCTCTTTTTGTCTTGACTCCCTTCACTTGTTACCCTTCAGGAGCACAGTCTTCTTCACTTGCTAAACTAGTCTTTTGCTATCTCAGAGTTGGCATAAGGGGAAATTATTATCATCATTATTATTATTATTATTATTATTATTATTACTACTACTACTACTACTACTACTACTACTGGTACTGGTACTAGTAGTACTACTAAAAATGCAGGCATCAGTGGCAGCCAGCAGGTACATAACCATTTGCTTTCAAGATGTAGTAAGTGGAAGTGGCAGGGGTAAGATCCAGGGCTGGCATTGCTTTTTGCCCTGCTGCCTTTCATGTTGAACCCATCAAAGTTTCCTGCTCTGTGTATCTAGCAAGGCTTCCGCATACCAGGGCTAGAGCTTCCCAGTCTGGTATCCAGAGCTCTGCTGCAACACACTGTGGCCACATCAGTTGGCAACAGCTCACCAGCAATGCTTTTGGTGTTAGTTAACAAGTAGAGCAGCAGGGAGGTCAGGACACTTCTCTGTCCCTTGGTCCCTTACCCCTTTGTCTCACTTGGCATTTGTCACCCTGGGCATTCACTTATGTCACTCAACAGGGCCCTTGGCCCTGGGTTACTGTGGTCCTTGACATAGTAAGGGTCTCCAGAAGGAAAAGCTTTCCTTGGCTTACTTTCCACCAGGTGTGTGGTGCTGCTGTGCCATGCCTCGTTCAAGGATAAGGTTACTGTGCACCTCGGCAAGGTGAATCCTGGCCACTGCTAACTTTGCTAACACGTCGTCCATGTCTTTCTTCTCTAAAAATATCACAGTCCTGTTTAAAACAAAAAGGGAAAAAAAAAAGTTTTCAGAGGAGGTGCTCTGGACAGAAGGGATGCTAGAAAGAGTGACTGTTCCTGAGAAGCAAGCATGGTTTTCAGACACATAAACCAAGACGCCGCGTGACACCACTGTCACAGGACGCTTCTGCAGCAAGGCTGGGCTCAGACGCTTCCAGCACAGCTTGGCAATGCCAGTGGGGCCACAAGGCCTTGGGCTTGGGCCCAGACAGTCTCTCTTGCCCCACACAAGTTATAAGCTGCATGCCCACAGCCTGTCAGGTTGCTGTCTTTGATCCTGCACAGCTTATGAACTCTTTTTGCAGCCTGCATAAAAGTCCTGGAGGTGCATTTAGATACCTCCGGGTACAGGCTCCATCACCGGGTGGCCTGGAGCAGTAGGTCTGGCTCAGAGACACCACTTACTTCTCTTCAAATAGGCACACAAAGCTCTTTTGGGACTGCCTCTAAACAGGAATGGCTGACACCACAAGCCTGTATTTTAAACCAGTTCAGATCAAACACTAAGGAAATACCAAACCAAAGAGCTTTCTATTTCCTCTGCTTCCCCTGTAATCCACCTGACTGTCTGCCACTGTCTGAGAGTGCTGCTGGCCTAAAAGTTACCAGCCTGCTCTCACACTCAGGAGAAATGGCTTTTTTCATCTGTCCTACCCTGATGGCCTCCAACTCTAAAGCATCCTACACAACCCACTTTAATAAATTAGGACAATTACTCTGGGCTTTGCAAGGATAATAAAATTCAGCAGATTTTCCTCAAAAGACATGAAAGGGTTGGATGCAGAAACAGACAGTAACTAAAGGGGAAAAAAATGCAGGACAGAAATAATAGCCCTTGTTCCATTCATGTCTCATCCACCACTGCTGAGTTTTTGTTCTTAGAGTCACATATTTCAGAGGTGAACACTCCCAAGCTGTCTCTGGTGGGGAAATGGCTCATGCTCACTGCTTCGGTTACAAGAGCTTCCTGAACCTAGAAGAAGCCAGGAAAGCCTCAGGCTTGGATTTACAAAGAATCAGCAGAGCATCAACAAAAGATAAAGTCACAAGAAGTTAAAGATGTCCAGATCCATCCTGACTTTCTCTGATAGCAACCCTTTCCAATACTTTCAATTCCAAATAAAGTTTAATGCACAGAAGCAATGGTTTCCGAAGCCAGGATGGGCTTAGGCGTTCCCTTGAGGCGCTGTGGACACTGGTACTTCTACATGGTCTAGATTCAAGACAGTTGAGGAGTTATTTAGACCACCAGATCTGGCTCCCTGTGGACAAGTGCAGTCCCAACAGATGAGTTAAGCATCTCTCACAGGCAGCCAAAATGACAGGAACCCCAAAACACACCAACCAGGAGCAGGAATAACCAGCACTGTTGTCTGTGTTTCTAGGTTATCACACAGGGTCTACAAGAAGAGCAGCTCAAGGACTGCACAGCCATTGGATGTGTCTGTCATATAGGAACGTCAGGCTGATAAAGGACTAGGCAGGTCACCAAGCCCTGTCTCCGAGTAATCTGTCTGTCACTTTAACTGGGAGCAAATTATAGGTGCCACTAACGAGAAACATGAAATGGTCCCGGCAGGTCTTGCCTCCAGTCTGTCTCTACCTGTGGCACAAAGCCAGTACTACATAGGAAACCAAAAAACCTCTGAAACTAAATTACATCTTGGAGGAAGGCGGAGGGAGTTGTCCTCCTGAGCAGACCACTAGTAACTGCCTTGAGCATGGGATTTATGTGGGGTAGATATAGGAAAACAAATGGCTACGCAATCTTCCTTCACATTCTCTCAAACACATCACCATATCACAAACCCAAGGATTCTTACCACAGGTGTAATTTTATGTCATGATGATTCTATTATGTAGTTATAAAATCCCTTTCACAAGCTCATGGAGCTCCACCTTCAGAAAAGAAGTCATTTTCTTGCCTGCCCCCACTACGTCCTAGTGGAACATCATTCCAGAACTTCACTTCACAGGAGGAAAAAGACAGTCCTTGCCACATTTTATGTGAAATACAGCACATACCACATTTGGAATTAAACCAGGTGGATAACAGAGGAAATAGGAGTTCTTGAACAGAAGAAGAACATGAATTATCAGAAAGCTCTTCACACTGTGAGTAATATCTCCCTGCTCCTCCAAGTCAGCCAAGATGCTAAAACAATTAAGGATGAATTTCAACATTAAATATTGCCTTTTGTAATTTTATTTTCCTTCCTTGTATTTATACATCAGTAGATCAATATCCTGAGTTCCTGTCTCTGCATGGTTAAGTGTCTCTTCTTTAATCTCCTCTGATGTTACGCTGCATGCAGGTAATCCTGACAAGCAAATCACTTCCCCTCAGGGGAGGTAATGAAGCTAAATAAAACAGTACTGCAGAAGTGGAGAGTCGGCATGTGATCCCCACCAAAAGGCAGGAGTCACTCTGGGAGCACTGCATGCCAGAACACACTGAAAAGTCTCTCCTGGCAGGGTTCATCCAGTGCTTATAGCTGATAGCTACTAAATCAGAGTCCCCTTGACCCAGGAACCATAACTCTATATTGCAATAGGTCCAAACTCCTCTTTGTTTCTCTGTTTCTGTGTTTGCCACACCAGTAGATGACAGGAGCCATTTTGCTATGTCATGGCCCACAGAATGGCCTCCTTCTCCTTTACCAGCCAAGAGTGAGGGGATCGCTTTGTAAACTGCAGCCCAGAGCACCTCAACTGAACCCGTAACCTTTGTGTATGAAACTACACTGATGGTTTTCTTTCTTTATTAATTATTCCTTGCACAATGAAGGAAACATCTGGCAATCTGCAGATGTAGAACAAATCCATTCCTTAAGGCCAGCAATTCTCCAACAGTCTTTTCTTCAATCCAGATAGATCAGCCCCTCTCTATATCAAGGTTTCATGAACTGTGAAGTAAGTAATCATTAGATATTTTAAGAACATGGTCAGTCAATGCTCGGAGACTATTCTAGACTGCAGAAAATCACCAAAGTGTCTTACAGTCATGGTTTGTGACTCTCCAACGCTTTCTCCCAAGGCAAATAACCCTCTAATACAGCAGCTCCTAAACTGTTCTCCTGGCAGCCCCACTTCCACTCTGCAAGGTAGCAAGTGTGGTCACACACCCTTACTTGGGAACTGCTTTCCTAGCACATATTCCTCATGTTGTAACATGTTTCTAGCACCTGAGAGTCTCCTGAACCTGCTTTGCAAAGTATTTAGAAACAGAGTCTTAAAGCGGTGTGACCCACGGCACAAATTAACACCCAGCAGACTCAGTTGCGACTATTTGGTGCTCTGCATTGCAAGCAGAAATGACTGGACGCTAATGTTATTGCTGGGAAATGGCATTAAGGGATGGTAATTCGGTCCAGGGCACTCACATGAGGTTTAACGTTGGTGGTAGTAGTAATGACTTATTCAGATTGCAGGATTACCTTGAGGAGGCAAATTATTGGGTGACCCCATTGCAGCAGGAGTGGGTCCAGCCTTGAAAGGGAGACTATGGTGATGCCGTGCCCCATGAACAGCGGTGCACACCTCTCAGGGCAAGGTTGGGGCAATGTGGAGCTCAAACCCTCCAAGAAAATCTGTCTCTCTACATAGACAGAGGAGCCTATGTTCTGGAGAGCACAGAGGACAAGGGGACAGGACACAGAAATGGTGAGAGCAAGGGGGTTTTCTCCATATAGAGACTGGGCCAGTACAGCAAGCAGTCCTTGCTCAAATGCAGAATCCCACAGATTCTGACACAAAACACTGCCCTGTGATTTCAGATTTGCTGGAGCAAGCTCTGGTTACTTACACCCAAAGGTCTTGTACTCACAAAATCAAGGAACTGTGTTTCTTTTCCAGAGCAATTTCTTCCAGGTAAAAAGACAGGTAGAAGAGCAGGGCCATGAGGAGCTCATCTAGTTTCTCATTCCTAAACGGAAAGTGGAACAGTCACTGTGAAGTCTCCAGATTTGCAGATATAGACACCACCAGACCATTATGAAAAAGAACAGAGTCTCTGCTGAAGGACCTTCATTATACCAAATATTAGCTCTATGGTTGAGACCTATTTGTAGCGAGCACTCCAACCCACACTAAGAGTCTGAAAGCTTTTAGAAAATTACTAACAGAGTCCAAGAAACATGCTGAAGAGCGGACTGAATTGGATATTACCAGACACGCTTCCAAGAAGTGTGTTTTCTGCACTGAACGTGCTGAAAGCGTGGCATTCACAATCAAAGGAAAAGGGGGACAACTCGGACACCCCTCTCCTTCTGAAAGGACAGTGTGGCTAAGGCTCAACAAGGCCTGTGGATGCGTTCCTAAGCCAAAGGCAATGCGGCCACTGTGTGGCCCTGGTGATGTCAGGGATGTGCCTCTGAGATACAGTGCTCCACCAGCTGCCTCCTCGCTTTCAGCCTATAGAGAAGTAATGCTGACGACTGACAGCAGCAAATCACGAGCCCTGTAGCTGTGATGGGAGCAGCAGCAGCAAGGGAAGGCAGCTTGGATTGATGTCAGTACTCCTGGTGCACGCAGTGTTGCAGCTGCGCTGGTTAACATGGGATTCAACTTCGGGTAAGATGGAAAACAGCCTTTGGATATTTTAGGCCAAAGTTCTGGCTTCTTGTAGCTAACAGAGTAGAAGGCTTTCAAACAGGTGACGGGATTATTTCTCTGCACATGTCAAGGACAAAATGCATGTGGTATTGTTTCCCACTGAAGCCCACAGATGAGAGATTTTAATCCTCTGATATTTCATATTCTACTTCTCATGCACCGTGGTTCCTCCACTACCAGCTACACACACATAATTCTTGAAACAAACTCTAAATGAGATACCTCATAATTGCTGCAAATGATAGCACATGATGGGACTCGTGTGCTTCTTTCAAAAGCAAAGCAGCATCTGAAAACATACAGAGGAGAAAACCAGTATTTCCTCAAAAAATGCTATTTTTAGTAGAAATAGCTTTCTAACTTGTATGGGCAATGTATTGCTGATACAAAACACCAGCAGTTACTCACACTTGACATCATCCAACGTCACATATTCACGCTGGATCCACTTCGACAGCACATGCAATTTTCCTTCAGTATCAGACAGTTTTCTTTCAGGGAGCAATGCACTGCAATTGACTCAGAAGATGCTAGTGGCTGACCAACACATAACATCTAAGGACGCAGTGTTAATTCCAGTCCGAGAATATTAAGATGATCTGCCTGGTACACACTCTCTTCATTGCACTCAGTTTCAGAGGGACAGGCAGTGAAATGTGTTTGGCAGGTATCCTGAACTAACTTTCAGCTATTATAACCACAGAACAGGCTGGGGATGCTGAGAGAAATAGGACATTTCACCTCTAAGGTTGCGTATGAAGTTGCTCTTTTAGTTGCTAATATAATAAATTGTTACTCTATTATTTAGATCAAAGAGGTTTTAAATAATGGATGAAAGTCAGCTATACCATGTTGGGAATTTATAAAATTAATAATAATAATAATTTAATCTTTGAAGTACCTTACACAGATGAATTTATTACCTCGCAATACTCTGTAGGGTAGATGAGAATTGTTCTGAGCGATCTGGAAAGAGCAACAACGTTGAATGACTTTACCAGAGTCATGCCAAGCTAGTGCTTGAGCTAGCATTCAACACCAGGCACGCCTGGCTCTGTTCTCAAGTTCACTCATCCACCCTGCTGAAATGACAGCTGCCTTCCCGTTTCACGTGTTTTGTTCAGACATGATCCTCAGACAACGGATGAAAATATTCCCACCCAAATGATCTTGTTTCTTTTTGAGCGAGGCTAGTCGAACTGAAATACCTCTTCAATGCCTTGACACGCAATTCCTCAAAGCGAATGTTTTTTCCTGCCTTAAGGTTTTCCTCAGTTGCTGGATTGGAACTGAAATATAGAGCATGAGCACACAGTAGCATGAGTTTAAATGACTAGCAGCAGTGCAAAGAGGCCGATATCCCGTGATAAAGATGCGCATCTATTTTGGCCTCCAACTGACACTAAGAAAACATACGGGTTGTGGAGAGGTCCACGTGCTGCCTGCAAGAACACAGCAGCAGAGTAAAGGGACTTCCTCAGGTCCTCCTGCTCCGACTCCGGCCACCATTCACACTGTACCATGTAAACTCTTCAAGTAATGGGTGTCTCAAGTAGCTTTAGGAAGATTTTTAACGTTAACGATTAACAGAGCTTTTCTTTGGGATCGCTGAGGGCAGAGACACGCAGAGGTCACCAGGGAGCTCACACCTCTCCCTGGAGAGCTACTGGGCAGAGTCAGCAGCATTGCCAAGCCCAATGGAGAAGCTGGCTGGAGCTGCTGAGACACAGACCATGAAAGGTGCCTGCAGAAGCTGTGTGACCAGGGGAGGGGTGAGCAGCCTGGCTCCACCGTGACAAAGGCTCGGAAAATACCCAGCAGGGCAGGAGGCAGCAGCGGGCAGCGAGTGATTGACCCAGCACCGCCACGCTTCACCACGCTCCCTGCCCTGCGCTTGAGAAGAGAGCAGGGGGGGATAGAGTTTGAGTGTTGGGGTTTTTTGCCCCAATGGTTTAAATGGTCTGATAAAATCTCCATCCACAACTGCTGCAGATATTCAAAGCACAGTTACCTGCATTTTGTCCCCTGCTGAGCTGTGGTTTCCCTAAAGGTTTGCAGTCCCCCAGTGCTCACCACTGCCCAGGGTCATGCGTAACAGGGAACATCAGTCTGTGGACTTAGTGGACATTCCCCTGTAGACACCTGGGATGGCATTTGGCCCTTGTGTCCAGCGCTGCTGCTTCAGTGCATGGGGCACGTTTCTGACACATGGCAGGACTCGCCACACGCTTCCAGTCGTACCCCTATAGTGGGCTCAGCTTGAGAGCAATGCAGAGGACATGCGTATTTCTGAATGTCTCCGTTAACATGATGGGAGAAATGCCACAAAGCAGAAGTTATGGAGCTCCAGTCCCAAACAAAAATAAAAAGAAGAAAATTGTCCAGCAGACGATGTTCAGGCAAAACAATGTTAGACTCTGACTTCAGCTTACTTAGAACTGCTGTATCAAGGCCTAAACCTGCATAATTTGAAACTAAATACCAGTCTTTTACCTTGCAAATTCAAGTGTGTTAGTATCATCTTTCCAGTACCACACACCCGGAGTTAGCTTTATCTTCTGCAAGAAAACAGCATATAGAGTACATGTCATCAGTCTGTGCTCAAGTTCTCAGCCCAAAGAAGTATTTACAATGCAAGCACTGAGCATATGGGCCACTTTCTGTCTTTCTTCAGACTGCTTTTCACCCAGATGATGTTTGTGTGTAAATTATTTGAACAGAAGCTCTCTGAGATTAAAGGCTGCCAGCATAAGAAAGAAAAATGTGTATCCGTCCTTTTTTATGTCTTGCAGGTTATGAATAAGTAACTGGAAGTCTACTGAGGAACACCAGTTCTGTGATTGACAGTGAATCAGTAGACTGAGAAATCAAATGAAGCCACGTATTAAAAAACACATTGCTATTATTTGTGTATTTATGTAATTGTACAGACTAAATATCAGGAGAAAGGAAACCTTTGTTAAAATGGCACATGTTATGCACTTTCCTGATATTCTGAGAAAATTAAATCAAGACCAGGTAGACCCTTCAGGGGACACTGGACAAAACTACCAGTAACAGCATTTTACAGTATCTACAATTTTTAAAAAAAAATACATACAAAAAACCTCCCTGGAAATAATTAAGACCTATTAGTCCTTTCTTAATTAACAAGAGACTTGCAAACCCTTAACTATTATTTGCAGGTCACCTTTAAAGCAAAATTACTCCTATTGCTGAAATCCTTCTGCCTACAAATTTAAACCAAGTGAAACTCTAGGGCTTTCTGTGACTTTTTGGCAGGTACCATTCAGCCAGCCAGCTGCAAGGCTTTCACAAATTACTGCTCAATCTAAATGGGCAGTGGAGCACTGAATACAGAACACAAGAATAATTTCACGTCAGCAGCCCATGCGATGGTTAAACCACAGAGATTAATATTAGGAAACCATGGCGGTAATCCTTTGACAAAAAGTGGTTATTTCAACTTGTCTGTTCTAGTCCTCGGTTCCAGCTTTCTAATACCAGTTTACAACTCTCAGAAGAAAAAGGCCATGCAAATGCTATGCCTTTATGTTACACACAAGGGATTATGAAAGAAAAACAAAACAAAAAAATAGGAAAGGTAGGCAATACGGCAGAGCGAGGCCTAGCAACCTCTTTCCAATAGGAAGGAGAAAATACCACTCCTGTGTCCTCAAAATATGTCTCGGCTACTTCTCACTAACACGAATGGCTGAATGGCTGTCCCAGGCCACCCTGCTCCCTGGCTGGGGCAGTGGGACGGGCCCTGCCCTGCCCACCCCATGGGGCCTCCTGTGGCCCCAGGATGTGCTGCAAATGTCAACAGCAGCAACAAGATCACAGAATCACACACAGAATTCTGTGATTCTGTGATTCTTTGAATCCCAGACCGTTAGGGATTGGAAGGGCCCTCCAAAGCTCATCCAGTCCAATCCCCCTGCCGGAGCAGGAACACCCAGATGAGGTTACACAGGAAGGCATCCAGGCGGGTTTTGAATGTCTCCAGAGAAGGAGACTCCACAACCTCTCTGGGCAGCCTGGGCCAGGGCTCTGTCACCCTCACTGAGAAGAAGTTTCTTCTCCAATTGAAGTGGAACCTCCTGTGTTCCAGTTTGTGTCCGTTACCCCTTGTCCTATCATTGTTTGTCACCGAGAAGAGCCTGGCTCCATCCTCGTGACACTCACCCTTTAAATATTTATAAACATGAATGAGGTCTCCCCTCAGTCTCCTCTTCTGCAAACTAAAGAGCCCCAGCTCCCTCAGCCGCTCCTCATAAGGTATCTGGGGAAGGTGAGGAGACTCACGGACAACATGGTGCTCGCCTAGGCCAGTGCCAGCAGCGCAGGGGAGAAGGCAGGCACTGTTTACAGCAGTATCCTGGTGACAGCCGGCTGTCCCCTAGGCACTGCAGATCCCAGCGCACAAATGTGGGCTGGGACTCGTGGTCTGTGTGCTCTGCTCCTTCCCAGCTCTAAGCAGCTTCCCTGGGAAACATTTTAGTCCAGATGGGAAAATTAAGTGCTCTCCATGCAGTAACATCTCCTCAGACACTCATTTGGGCTTACTGTGTTCCTTGATGATTGGGAGCTGGAGAGGTTTTCCTGGTCACTGGCCCAGGACGGGCAGCACTGAAGGCAGCTGCATCCTGTGTTACAGACACTGATGTCTGTACAGCCCTCTGAATGTTAATCATACTTTAGCTTGGGATTTTACAAGGTTTAGAAGTATATCTACCAGGTCACAAGTCCCTGTGTGAGCCGTCAGCTCAAGATTTGCCCCTGGAAGTAATTCCCATACATTAAGGCAGGTCACTTAAGGGCATGATTATGAGGGAGGGGTTTTGACATCCGAGACATTGGGAGGCATTGTTTTTGCAAGCAGAAAATCATTCATACCAGTCATTCAGAGCGGATCAGTGTCATGTGTAACTGGTACTGCTTAGATCACACCCAAAATTGGTACAAGTTGTATTGACAAAAGCACTTTTTGCCGGGAGACGTCAAGTCCCCGTGAAGGGTGAGGTTTCACATTAGAGCTAAGCCAGCCTAATAGTGGATGGAAGAGGCATCCTTGCTCCCATTAACTTTTTCCCATTATTTATCTTTGCATTGATTCTTCATCTTCGTTGTTTCCACATCAAGGCAGCTCCCTAAACTGTCAAAAATACTAATCCAGCTAAAATAAATGAGAAGCTTTCTGTTGAGTTAGCATTTGACATCAGCTCACAGTGGAGTCAAAGAAGGGTCAGTGGAGATGCAGAGAAATATAAGGGGGAGGACCACACCTCCCAATAGATCATGTCAGCTATAATGTGAAAAACAGCCACAATCTAGGAAAATTTTGCTAGTACAGCTGCACTAGTCCAGTATGTTCTTTGAAGAGATTAAAATATCTGACCTAAGACCTTTAGACAGGTCAGTTCGGTAAGAGAGAAGGAACATTTCCTATGCTTTCAGCTCTTAGAGATGGCGTCACTCATTTTTTCAATAGTTTTTAACTAGGGAAAATACTCCTGAAAGCAACACTGGGATGTTCAGATGTTTGTGACCACGTGGAAGAACACATGGACAAGACAATGTGAGGAAAGAAAATCTCCATAAAACAACCTGTCCCTAACTTCCCCCCATTTCCACAGCCTTCCAAACACTTTTCTCCTGTAGGTACTCCGTAAAGGTTTATCCATACAAACACAATCATGCCCTGGATAGCTAAGCAGGATCCTCAAATCAGCCTAAAAATTCAGCTCTGGCTCTGTTCTCCACAGCTATCTCTCTTTTTTTTTTCAATTGTGTTGTGTATGTTGTGTTTCCAGTTGCTATTGCAGGCTGCCAAGTACATATCCGTGACTTGGCAGCCAAGTTACATATTTAAGAGGATGAGAGAAGCAGGTTTGGGAACGACCTCAGATCTCACCCATGGCAGCCAGGCAGTGCCATAGAAACAGGCTCCCCATCAGGGGACAGTGGGAGCTATGGAACTGATGGCTCATCCACTCATTTTTATAGAGCGGGGCTGTCATCAACCTCAGGAGACCAATGGCCCATCTTGAGTCCAGCAAAAGTCGTGCCAAAAAACTGGGAGAAGTAAAGGACATGTGGCAGATGGTCAGGGCCACCTTGTTAGAGGGAACCTTGGGTCTAACTGACCAGAGCAGGAGACTTGGGATGCTCGGATGCAGCACTGCACTACCCTTAACCAACTGCTTGCTGGAGATCAGACCAAGTATTTAATGAGCTAAGGGTGCAGAGGTGAGTACCAAACATCCCACCGTGTTGGACATCAGTCTGAAAAAAAACAATTAAAAACCAAGCACTGCGTAGCAGAGGAGATCAGTGTCTGTTAGATCCCTGCTTCAGCTGTTGCAAGAGTTGGAAGCTATAAAATGAGTAAGTCAGAAGATTATAAGAAGTGAAAGAAAGGTTTAATGGTTGAAGCAGTTGAAGGCTACGTGGGAAACTGATTTCCACATGGGCTTCAGTCTCAGAATACCAGGCAGATCACTCCAACCCCCATGCAACCACTCCAACTTCCCAATTCATGGAAGTTTGAAATGCAGGACTAGGTATTCACAGCTGTGACTGAAGCCAATGGGAACTCCACTTTGAACAGTCCAAGAAGTGTATAATACTAATCTGTCTGAAAATAACCAGTTCCTTGGCATTTCCAGTAGAAGACCCCATAATAGACAGAATGCATTTGGCTTTTGGTGTTTGGTTTTATCACCTTCTCTCTGTGGGAATTATACACATCTCAGGGGTGAAAGCTAAGTGTTTAAAGTTGCAAAGCACTCAGGGTGATGAGATCCACAGGCAACATCTTAAGGGACAATTCTTCTGCAGAGCTGGGGCTGAACAGCACACAGCAAGTAAGGTGTTTATTGAGCTGGGAAATACTACTTTCTTAGAGCACACACTGCCCACTGTGTGCACTGGCTGAGGCAGGTGCTCTACAGAACAAAACCCAAAAAAAACCCCTGTTACTGTGTAATTAAAACCTGGATTATGATGCATAAGCACAAAGAAAGAATAAATAAGCTTGCTCTAATGGTCATAATTCTGAATAAGTGACCTTGCAGCTTTAATAGGCTTCTTTCAGTGATTCTTGTGGTGCCTGTGTGTCCATGTGTGTCCCAGTAGCTGAGAACACTCAACAGTACGCATACGTATCCATTCTTTAGGTATATCTGATGTTTAATTCAGATATCACACCCAGAAAATAAACACCTGCATAAACTCAACAAAAGCATCACTGACTCACCATCCAGTCATTCACCTCTTTTCTGCCTCTTGTTTCTTCTTGCTGTGACAAGTTTCTGCCTTCCCTCCCCACCATACGAATTTCTTCCTCTCTTCCCAGGGGCAGTTGCATGCCAGCCCTGATTTCTCTGGGGATATTGGCCTCTGTGAACGTGCACAACTGTTTGCATTGGACACACAAGTGCAGATTTCAGTTTCACAGCGGCTAATGCTTAGTCCATGGCTGTGCCATTTACCTGCCGAGTACTTCTGCCTGCTTATTACAGACAGGATCATGCTATATGAACGGAATAAGTCACATCCTTAGGCAAAAAACTATGAGCACTGGTGT